ATTATGATTGTCAAATAGTCTTCTGTGACATTTAAATCCTCTTAATAAATTAAAAGATTTCATTTTCCAAACATTTTGAAATAAGAATATAAGTTAAAATAAAATATCCCAATAAATATATAATCATCCTTTTTGGAATAAAAACTGTTTTTTAGTTTATAAGTTGCTGCATATCTTCTTAGTTTTTATCCATTTTACCTTTAAAGGATTAAAACATATCTTATTACCCAAAACAAGTAAAAGAATGGATGAGACAAATAAAGTTTAATTCGGACATCTCATCCAAAACACAGGAAAGCCATATATATTTTAGTTTTAGCATTAAATTTTTAATCAATTTTGTCGCAACATAGCTGCAAAAACTTGGAATGACTACCCCATAAGAGAAGAAAACAATTGTTATCAATATCAATTTTTAAATCTTAATTTGTTTCCTGGAAGAGTAGTTCAAGCCAATGCAATTCGTGCTTATATTTAATGCTTTAATGATTTTTCTGCATAATTTATATAGTACTAGAACACATCCGCGACACCGCGGGTCCGTGACTGAATTAAAGTACATACGCCTTATTTTTAGTCTGCATTTTTAGTATTCGTATTGTCATCTGATATAGTCTTGCTGGTGCACAGTTTTCTCTGCTTTCAAATCGTTCTGTTTGAACCCGTCCTGGTTTTCTTACTGCAACCGGAAACTTGTGACAGTGTTTGAATTTATCTGTGTCAATCCCTGTATAATGTCGAAATTCAGGTGTGATTATGACCCGTGTATATAGCTAATCCCAAATGCACCATTTGGTGGTGCGCCTGTAGAGGCGGAACATACAGATTAGGTTACAAGTGACATACATGTATACTATTGGTGTCGGTATCGGATTCGATCCGGAACTTGTTAATTATTGGTAATATTAATTATACGGAAAACAAAAGAGCCTGGAGTGGTGGAATTTTTAATCAACACCATTGTCCTATATTAGTTATATATAAAGTTGAATTATTTGATTCGTCGTTTTTACGTCATGTCGGCTAACAAATTGGACCTCGTTATTTCAGTAATATAGGTGCGTACATTGCATATGTCATGTCAGGATGGACTGAGTTTGCTTTTATTGTGTAGTTCTTGTGGGATTGGTATGCTTGCTTTGTTTTAAACTTGCACTCTTTAAATGTTTTGTGTGTACATGTAATAAGACGATCAAAATCACAATAGAGCTTACGGTTTTTGTATACTAGAATTCGTCTATAAACTTGTGAATGAACTTGATATAGTACATTTGTCGCTGGAATGTACGACCTTGCATGCAGAGAAAAAATGCATAACATAACACAATACGCTTGTAATTAGCATTGCTCTTAAAACAGGCATATTAGGTGAATATCCAAACTAATAATGTAAATGTTTAATTCGTCACGTAGGACGTTTAAAGTTGTATGTGTAAGACGACAATTATCTGATACATGTATAAGAGAAAATATTATTCCCGATAAGTGAATTGTAGATGAGATACAAAAAGGTTAATGATACATTTATATTATAATTATTAATTCGGTGTATTAAAAGAAGTTTTAATTGAAACAAAAACAAATTTAGTATATCATATGGTAATATGGATGTAATATTATATTTTCGTAAAAAAGAGGCGAAAGATGCCAAAGGGAAGACTAAAGACTTACAAGTTGAAAGAGAGACCGCTAAAATATGGAAAAAAACGAAATACGACGAAAAGGCAAACGGCAACAGTCTTCGAAACACATCATAAAAAACGGTGTTCCGGAATGGTTATCAGATCCTGCTCCAATTATAACACTCGTCGTGTTACTCCTATAAAATATGTTGATATATTATATCAAGTGATTCCATGTATTCATCACGCAATAGCGGATTTGTAATTGACTCTTATCTAATCCGAAGACATCATCAATTCGTTAACCATCGATCATGTAAATTTTGTATAAACCATAAATCTATAAATATGTGTTATTAATGGCTGTGTAGGGATTGTTTCAATGTACATTTGTATTATTATATTATGGAATGTCAAATAACTTACAATCCATATGTGACACAACAATAGGAAAAAAATCATTATTATCATTCAAGATAGTTGCTACATATATAAAATAAGGAGATTTGGTATGAACGCCAATGAGACAGAATGGTACAGGCCAAGAGGACACAAACAACTAAATGTAAAAAAAATGTAAATGAGTAGTGGGGTGGAACCGTAACACTGTCGGTAGAGAAGTAGACACAGGGTTACGTTATCGTATCTTATTCATGTCAGGAGCCTTGTCAATGGTAACGTTATCGTATCAAAAGCAAAAATATCGCAAGATCTAAATAGATTTTGGATATTTTTACCCCTCCATCTGTTTAAAATCAAGTTCACTAGACCCGAAAGAGTTACGTAAAAGAACATAGAATAAAAATCATTACTGGAAAAACACTTAGATAATAACTAAAATAATAGCTTAATAAATTAAAAAACACAGACCTTCACCTGTACAAATAAAACCATTCTGAATATTATAAAGTGTCAAAGAATGTTTGCAACTTCTGTTCGGTATGCTTTAATCGCCAAGAGTCAAAGAAGATAATAGACAATTATTTTTATCTAAAAATAAGTAGATCACGTTTAATCATTCGGTCAAACTAAAATTGTCTACCACCAATGCTTGAATGTTGTATACATTCCTGAAAAATGAGTTAAAACTCTGTAATCATGAAAATGCGTTCATCTTAAATTTGGTAAATTATTTGTTTAATCGGAATAAAAGATATACATGATTTCGTTATGAACTATAAATTCCGCTTCGACATTCAAATTAAACTTAAACAACGAATATGATTAACTGGACATTGCTTGTAACTGGAAAATGAAAAGTTTATACAAACTAGCTGCTATTAGTTATAGTGAATACAGAGATGTGCAGTGTTCAGTGTGGACTATCAAGTTTAAGGTACTCTTAATGCATTATAGTCGTTACTGATTGTATACTTCTGTTAAATTAAGCTTAACTTTAAGGCAAACGTAGTGGTATACTTCTCTGCTGAATTCTCCAAAAGCATTTTACTACAAATCTGAATTGCATAATTATATAGAACTTTGAACTCAAAAATTTCTGCGTAAATAGGCAGATGCAGACATTCAGAAAGAAAGCCATGATTGTAATTAAGTTGAAATTAGTGAAGAGTTTTGTTATATTTTGACATGTTCGACGATGGACGAACGACAGTAGAAAAAAAAATTGAAAAATAAGTTTAAAAAATAATATTTTATCATCTCAAGATCTTATGATACTGGCGGAGGAGCCGGGGAGGGCACATAGGGCAATGCCCCCTCCCCCTACACACCTATACACTTTTTGGCAAAAGAATATTATTGAAATGAAAAAATGAAAATGAAAGAGGTCACTAACTAATTTTAGATTATTCAACTATTATAGGAAAGTTTTTTTTTCTTGTCACTTTCAGAATTTTGTCTCCCCACACACACACTTTTCAGTGTACACGCCACTGTATGAACAACACCAATCCGAGTGAGGAATACAAGGTTATTGTGTAGATTTATTAGAATAATCAAACAATCAATAAATTTAAAAAAAAAAGGTCCGGTTAAGCTAATAAAGTACGTTTATCGGTATCTTAACCTGTTTACAATGATTACGTAAAATAGTGCTTTCAACTTTGTGTTTACGATAAAACAGCAAACACAATGGCGTCATACGTACAATAACGGGGCATATTTTGCAAGTCAATCATGGCAGTGTAAGCAACAATTCTACTGCACAGTGACCGTCTAGTTTCACCTCTACCGTTAATCGGATTCTTTTTTCAAGAAGATAGTCCCTTTTTATATATAATTGGAATTTACAGTCCATTATTATTTTTTTTATAATTTCTCCGGTTTGTCTCGGTGTGCAACAGATCAATTGTATCGCATTTTAAGTGCTTTATGACTCATTAAGCATGGTCGGATCAAGGACTTTTGGAATGGGTGGGGCGTATTTCTAGAAAATAGAATATATACTGTTGAGCGGAAATTTTTGGACGATTTTATGCGAAAAAAAATCATAAATCGAGAAAAAGATGAGATTTTTTGGCGATCAAATGTGCGCACGACCCCTTCCCCCTTCCCCAGGACCGTCAGACACACCCATGTAACTGGTTTATTTAAATTAACATATGTAATGATAATTCATCTAACGGAATGTGATCTTACTTAGTCATTTTCAAATGATGCAAATGAAATATTTATTTCTTGGCGCAAATAAGTACTTTGTATTGGTGCAATGGATTTTTATTCAATACGCCGATTTAATATTTAATCGTCAAAGAAAAAATTGTTTGGTGCAAAGTATTTTTTTTTTTTTTCAAATTGGCGCAAATGCAATACGCTTATTTAATATATATAATTGTCAAAGAAGAAGAAAAACAGTGGAAAATGATTTAAAAAATAAGGCATTTGTATATCAAAGAACAATTTAGCTTGTCGACTTTTGTCCGAGACTTTGATATGATGCCATTGTTAAAAAAAAACCAATATTTAGACATGAATGCAGAATTATTAACCCAATGTAAAGGTTGTGGATATATCGCTGACAGCATCCACTAAGTAATACTCAGTTTGTTGACAGAACAGTTTTATGGGGAACAAAGTCAACCGTATTTATTCGTCTAAGTCCTTGATTAATTAAAAATTATTTCTGTCAGATTGTAAACAATACCTAATTAATATTGAATGCCCATATGAATAATTTATTCTAATTTAATTAAATATGCACGCTAATATAATCCAAATCCTGCAATTATTTCATATTTATCCTTTCATCGATTTTCCCCCCACTGTTTTTGTTACCGGCTGGGTAATTTAAATAGAGTTAATTTTTCACCTATTAAGAAATAACTAAAACAGGTCAAAATTTGTAACTGGACATCGGTCAAGCTTAGTCCGTTACCAATGTAAACAAATACAAACAATTATATATTGATTACACAATAGATGAATGGTCACTCGTTCACAAACTACACAGGATTGTAATCATGAACCAACAAAAAGGTAAAAGATTATTTTAATATGAATATTATGCAAATTGTTAAAAATTTTACCATTTTTAAAAGTTTTAACAGGATATGAATATGCTTCACACAAGCGTAGACAAACAAGTTATGAGGCTGAAATTGTGCATGGTAATTTTATACATGTATAATATAATATCGGTCGCACAGAAATGCAATGAGGAATCCAAAATACGTGCAATTAAAAACGATATCATAGTTTCAACTACCATATTCTCGACATAGATAAAAAAATATATCGATATGAAAAACAGACAGCGATATAAAAGCAATCAATGCATCATCAAGCTACATATATTATGCTGAATTTTATCGATTTTGAATAAATTTACAATTCATGGAAACTTATTTATTTATTTACATGTAATTAATAAATAATACTGAAAATATTATAATGTAATACACAGATAACATGGAAGTTAAATTAAAATATACGGGAAAGAAAATTAAAAATTAGTGAATACAGAATTGAAGGACATCCTCCCTCCACAATCCAGACCATCGTAAAAGGGAGTTCAATAACTAGAGAAGGATAAAAAACAATAAAGATAGTTTGATACATCTGACGTAAATAAATGTATTTCTTTGGTAATTTTTTTTTGTTAGCATCGATATGACTGTGAATTTCTTCAAAAAATAATGTAAAGAGAATTATGGGGTGTAAAAGTATAGATAATATATCTGTGGAAAATCAAAGAATTAGGAAATACATCACTGATTACAGAAATAAACGATGTACAGAATAAAGAAATCATCTACTTACAGAAAAAGTTAAAAGTAAAATCCTGTTCATGAAACTTTTACAGAATAAGCGTTATTTTTAAAGATGAAGAAAACTTTGATGACATTAGAATTTAAAGCATACAGAAATTTTACTCGGACCCCCATCCAGACCCTCATTTATCATACAAGGTTTTACACATATTGCTGAATTTCATTATTTCAATGTGGTCTAAATATTGTGATTTCTAGATAGTGTGTTTTGGTAGTATACGATGGTCATCTGTACATTCTAGATGTAATCTCAGTGTCGATGGGGGGGTTTCGGCAATTCAATTAACCGCTTCAATACCATTTTAAATAGTTTATGTTGTTTTCATAGTGCAACAGACAAAAGCAACACATTGGAAGAGAAAACTATATATTACTAATTTGTCCAAGGTAACACTGAAATGATCTTATGAATGGAAAGCATACAGTGAACCCTGTGTCGGTAATCACCTCTGGTAAACGGACAAAAGTCACAGGTCAGAAAGTCACAGGACAAAAAGTCACAGGTCAGAAAGTCGCAAATTTGATAGGACGAAAAGTCACAGGACAAAAAGTCACAAACAATTAGTTGACAATTGTTTGAATATATATAAGAAAGATCTTGAAATATTTTCTTTTTATTAAATATATTCATTGTCCGGTTTATGAAATTGTTCATGAGCATGGATAAATGATTTTTTTTTTAATTTTAATCATGTAAATGATAAATTTCTTGTAACCACGAAGCCATTTAAGTACGAAGTCACTTTGACATTTTGTTTTCTTAACAATTATTTGATTATTTTTGATATTTATTACATATATTTTTTAATTAGAAAGTTGCTTTATATAAAATAGTTCAAGTAAAATACAAAAATGTTTTATTTTAAACAAGTGTTTTTTTTATTCAAAGAAAAATAATCTCATACTGAATTGTGACTTTTTGTCCTGTGACTTTTCGTCCGTGATTTTTTTGTCTGTGACTTTTTGTCCTGTAACTTTTCGTCCGTGACTTTTTGTCTGTGACTTATTGTCCTATGAATTTTTGTCCATGACTTTTTGTCGGTGACTTTTTGTCCTGTGACTTTCTGTCCTACATTCAACACCTCTAACATGGTATTTCAAAATTTTAATTTAAATCATTCGTACAACACTAAACCGAGATTGGTATTATGTTATGACATGCCACAGTGAATCCGGCACCATTGTTGTTTTCAATAAAAATTCATTAAATCCATGCAAAAGAAATATTATTTTTATGTTTGACAAAATCTTCGGGTTTCTTCAATCGAGAGACATAGAATATAAAGTAGACGCTTGTTAAAAATTGTCGTCGACAAATCAATATGTCAAGAGTCTTCCAACTTCCAGTTTATACAACAAGTGTCAAACATTTATAGGTGAATTTGTTTATACTGTTTTAAACAATTAAATTGTTTTTATTAACCATATATAGAGATTAAACGGTTTATTATGATTGTCAAATAGTCTTCTGTGACATTTAAATCCTCTTAATAAATTAAAAGATTTCATTTTCCAAACATTTTGAAATAAGAATATAAGTTAAAATAAAATATCCCAATAAATATATAATCATCCTTTTTGGAATAAAAACTGTTTTTTAGTTTATAAGTTGCTGCATATCTTCTTAGTTTTTATCCATTTTACCTTTAAAGGATTAAAACATATCTTATTACCCAAAACAAGTAAAAGAATGGATGAGACAAATAAAGTTTAATTCGGACATCTCATCCAAAACACAGGAAAGCCATATATATTTTAGTTTTAGCATTAAATTTTTAATCAATTTTGTCGCAACATAGCTGCAAAAACTTGGAATGACTACCCCATAAGAGAAGAAAACAATTGTTATCAATATCAATTTTTAAATCTTAATTTGTTTCCTGGAAGAGTAGTTCAAGCCAATGCAATTCGTGCTTATATTTAATGCTTTAATGATTTTTCTGCATAATTTATATAGTACTAGAACACATCCGCGACACCGCGGGTCCGTGACTGAATTAAAGTACATACGCCTTATTTTTAGTCTGCATTTTTAGTATTCGTATTGTCATCTGATATAGTCTTGCTGGTGCACAGTTTTCTCTGCTTTCAAATCGTTCTGTTTGAACCCGTCCTGGTTTTCTTACTGCAACCGGAAACTTGTGACAGTGTTTGAATTTATCTGTGTCAATCCCTGTATAATGTCGAAATTCAGGTGTGATTATGACCCGTGTATATAGCTAATCCCAAATGCACCATTTGGTGGTGCGCCTGTAGAGGCGGAACATACAGATTAGGTTACAAGTGACATACATGTATACTATTGGTGTCGGTATCGGATTCGATCCGGAACTTGTTAATTATTGGTAATATTAATTATACGGAAAACAAAAGAGCCTGGAGTGGTGGAATTTTTAATCAACACCATTGTCCTATATTAGTTATATATAAAGTTGAATTATTTGATTCGTCGTTTTTACGTCATGTCGGCTAACAAATTGGACCTCGTTATTTCAGTAATATAGGTGCGTACATTGCATATGTCATGTCAGGATGGACTGAGTTTGCTTTTATTGTGTAGTTCTTGTGGGATTGGTATGCTTGCTTTGTTTTAAACTTGCACTCTTTAAATGTTTTGTGTGTACATGTAATAAGACGATCAAAATCACAATAGAGCTTACGGTTTTTGTATACTAGAATTCGTCTATAAACTTGTGAATGAACTTGATATAGTACATTTGTCGCTGGAATGTACGACCTTGCATGCAGAGAAAAAATGCATAACATAACACAATACGCTTGTAATTAGCATTGCTCTTAAAACAGGCATATTAGGTGAATATCCAAACTAATAATGTAAATGTTTAATTCGTCACGTAGGACGTTTAAAGTTGTATGTGTAAGACGACAATTATCTGATACATGTATAAGAGAAAATATTATTCCCGATAAGTGAATTGTAGATGAGATACAAAAAGGTTAATGATACATTTATATTATAATTATTAATTCGGTGTATTAAAAGAAGTTTTAATTGAAACAAAAACAAATTTAGTATATCATATGGTAATATGGATGTAATATTATATTTTCGTAAAAAAGAGGCGAAAGATGCCAAAGGGAAGACTAAAGACTTACAAGTTGAAAGAGAGACCGCTAAAATATGGAAAAAAACGAAATACGACGAAAAGGCAAACGGCAACAGTCTTCGAAACACATCATAAAAAACGGTGTTCCGGAATGGTTATCAGATCCTGCTCCAATTATAACACTCGTCGTGTTACTCCTATAAAATATGTTGATATATTATATCAAGTGATTCCATGTATTCATCACGCAATAGCGGATTTGTAATTGACTCTTATCTAATCCGAAGACATCATCAATTCGTTAACCATCGATCATGTAAATTTTGTATAAACCATAAATCTATAAATATGTGTTATTAATGGCTGTGTAGGGATTGTTTCAATGTACATTTGTATTATTATATTATGGAATGTCAAATAACTTACAATCCATATGTGACACAACAATAGGAAAAAAATCATTATTATCATTCAAGATAGTTGCTACATATATAAAATAAGGAGATTTGGTATGAACGCCAATGAGACAGAATGGTACAGGCCAAGAGGACACAAACAACTAAATGTAAAAAAAATGTAAATGAGTAGTGGGGTGGAACCGTAACACTGTCGGTAGAGAAGTAGACACAGGGTTACGTTATCGTATCTTATTCATGTCAGGAGCCTTGTCAATGGTAACGTTATCGTATCAAAAGCAAAAATATCGCAAGATCTAAATAGATTTTGGATATTTTTACCCCTCCATCTGTTTAAAATCAAGTTCACTAGACCCGAAAGAGTTACGTAAAAGAACATAGAATAAAAATCATTACTGGAAAAACACTTAGATAATAACTAAAATAATAGCTTAATAAATTAAAAAACACAGACCTTCACCTGTACAAATAAAACCATTCTGAATATTATAAAGTGTCAAAGAATGTTTGCAACTTCTGTTCGGTATGCTTTAATCGCCAAGAGTCAAAGAAGATAATAGACAATTATTTTTATCTAAAAATAAGTAGATCACGTTTAATCATTCGGTCAAACTAAAATTGTCTACCACCAATGCTTGAATGTTGTATACATTCCTGAAAAATGAGTTAAAACTCTGTAATCATGAAAATGCGTTCATCTTAAATTTGGTAAATTATTTGTTTAATCGGAATAAAAGATATACATGATTTCGTTGTGAACTATAAATTCCGCTTCGACATTCAAATTAAACTTAAACAACGAATATGATTAACTGGACATTGCTTGTAACTGGAAAATGAAAAGTTTATACAAACTAGCTGCTATTAGTTATAGTGAATACAGAGATGTGCAGTGTTCAGTGTGGACTATCAAGTTTAAGGTACTCTTAATGCATTATAGTCGTTACTGATTGTATACTTCTGTTAAATTAAGCTTAACTTTAAGGCAAACGTAGTGGTATACTTCTCTGCTGAATTCTCCAAAAGCATTTTACTACAAATCTGAATTGCATAATTATATAGAACTTTGAACTCAAAAATTTCTGCGTAAATAGGCAGATGCAGACATTCAGAAAGAAAGCCATGATTGTAATTAAGTTGAAATTAGTGAAGAGTTTTGTTATATTTTGACATGTTCGACGATGGACGAACGACAGTAGAAAAAAAAATTGAAAAATAAGTTTAAAAAATAATATTTTATCATCTCAAGATCTTATGATACTGGCGGAGGAGCCGGGGAGGGCACATAGGGCAATGCCCCCTCCCCCTACACACCTATACACTTTTTGGCAAAAGAATATTATTGAAATGAAAAAATGAAAATGAAAGAGGTCACTAACTAATTTTAGATTATTCAACTATTATAGGAAAGTTTTTTTTTCTTGTCACTTTCAGAATTTTGTCTCCCCACACACACACTTTTCAGTGTACACGCCACTGTATGAACAACACCAATCCGAGTGAGGAATACAAGGTTATTGTGTAGATTTATTAGAATAATCAAACAATCAATAAATTTTAAAAAAAAAGGTCCGGTTAAGCTAATAAAGTACGTTTATCGGTATCTTAACCTGTTTACAATGATTACGTAAAATAGTGCTTTCAACTTTGTGTTTACGATAAAACAGCAAACACAATGGCGTCATACGTACAATAACGGGGCATATTTTGCAAGTCAATCATGGCAGTGTAAGCAACAATTCTACTGCACAGTGACCGTCTAGTTTCACCTCTACCGTTAATCGGATTCTTTTTTCAAGAAGATAGTCCCTTTTTATATATAATTGGAATTTACAGTCCATTATTATTTTTTTTATAATTTCTCCGGTTTGTCTCGGTGTGCAACAGATCAATTGTATCGCATTTTAAGTGCTTTATGACTCATTAAGCATGGTCGGATCAAGGACTTTTGGAATGGGTGGGGCGTATTTCTAGAAATAGAATATATACTGTTGAGCGGAAATTTTTGGACGATTTTATGCGAAAAAAAATCATAAATCGAGAAAAAGATGAGATTTTTTGGCGATCAAATGTGCGCACGACCCCTTCCCCCTTCCCCAGGACCGTCAGACACACCCATGTAACTGGTTTATTTAAATTAACATATGTAATGATAATTCATCTAACGGAATGTGATCTTACTTAGTCATTTTCAAATGATGCAAATGAAATATTTATTTCTTGGCGCAAATAAGTACTTTGTATTGGTGCAATGGATTTTTATTCAATACGCCGATTTAATATTTAATCGTCAAAGAAAAAATTGTTTGGTGCAAAGTATTTTTTTTTTTTTTCAAATTGGCGCAAATGCAATACGCTTATTTAATATATATAATTGTCAAAGAAGAAGAAAAACAGTGGAAAATGATTTAAAAAATAAGGCATTTGTAAATCAAAGAACAATTTAGCTTGTCGACTTTTGTCCGAGACTTTGATATGATGCCATTGTTAAAAAAAAACCAATATTTAGACATGAATGCAGAATTATTAACCCAATGTAAAGGTTGTGGATATATCGCTGACAGCATCCACTAAGTAATACTCAGTTTGTTGACAGAACAGTTTTATGGGGAACAAAGTCAACCGTATTTATTCGTCTAAGTCCTTGATTAATTAAAAATTATTTCTGTCAGATTGTAAACAATACCTAATTAATATTGAATGCCCATATGAATAATTTATTCTAATTTAATTAAATATGCACGCTAATATAATCCAAATCCTGCAATTATTTCATATTTATCCTTTCATCGATTTTCCCCCCACTGTTTTTGTTACCGGCTGGGTAATTTAAATAGAGTTAATTTTTCACCTATTAAGAAATAACTAAAACAGGTCAAAATTTGTAACTGGACATCGGTCAAGCTTAGTCCGTTACCAATGTAAACAAATACAAACAATTATATATTGATTACACAATAGATGAATGGTCACTCGTTCACAAACTACACAGGATTGTAATCATGAACCAACAAAAAGGTAAAAGATTATTTTAATATGAATATTATGCAAATTGTTAAAAATTTTACCATTTTTAAAAGTTTTAACAGGATATGAATATGCTTCACACAAGCGTAGACAAACAAGTTATGAGGCTGAAATTGTGCATGGTAATTTTATACATGTATAATATAATATCGGTCGCACAGAAATGCAATGAGGAATCCAAAATACGTGCAATTAAAAACGATATCATAGTTTCAACTACCATATTCTCGACATAGATAAAAAAAATATATCGATATGAAAAACAGACAGCGATATAAAAGCAATCAATGCATCATCAAGCTACATATATTATGCTGAATTTTATCGATTTTGAATAAATTTACAATTCATGGAAACTTATTTATTTATTTACATGTAATTAATAAATAATACTGAAAATATTATAATGTAATACACAGATAACATGGAAGTTAAATTAAAATATACGGGAAAGAAAATTAAAAATTAGTGAATACAGAATTGAAGGACATCCTCCCTCCACAATCCAGACCATCGTAAAAGGGAGTTCAATAACTAGAGAAGGATAAAAAACAATAAAGATAGTTTGATACATCTGACGTAAATAAATGTATTTCTTTGGTAATTTTTTTTTGTTAGCATCGATATGACTGTGAATTTCTTCCAGCCATCCGTCTTTTTGTTTGATCAGTGGCTATATATATATATAGAATCTAAATCTAATATACCTTTAATCCAATATGCATTAAACGATTAACCCCAACGTAAAAAAAAAAGATAACATGGAAGTGGAGCACGGCGTTGAGGGTGTTAAGAAACGCCACCCCTCCTTTCGCAATTTATAACTGAAATTTGTGTTTTCTATTCATTTTTTAGTTCCAGGTCCCGTTTTGCAAATTTTCAGTCCCCCACTCTATTGGATTTAACATGACAAGTTAAAAGCATACTGATCATGTCTGGACACATAAACAAACTCTCAAACGATTGTTTGTATTCAAAAATCGGTCATCAACTTAAACATTGTTATTTGTTATGGTATTACCGCATACAGAAAATAATTCCGACGTAATCCATGTTTATATGTTTATACATAAGTAATGTATTTATATAGTATATTTATTTGATTTATTTCAATGTGACGGGATTGCGAGAATATCGATACAAAAATAAACAAAAATTAAAAACAAGCTTCATATAATCGCTAATTACAACTAGAGATAGTCACAAATATTAAAATATATAGTTATTTTTTTTCAGTACATCCTGGACAAGATGGGTCACAGCCACCAGCATATACTAACCAACCACCAGCACTGCCACCAGGTTTGTTTTTAGTAATAGCTATACAGTTCTCTGACCGTTCTCTTCGGGAAATTAACCACTGAAGAACACAATAGCGTTCAGGAGAATTAAACGGTCACATAAATGAACCCGTTCATATATACAGAAGGAACATACTATTTTTTTACTCCTTTTTTTACGCATTCTCCCTTTATGATAAACATGTATAAATGTAAGATGTCGTTGAAAACACTGAACGATTTATTTGTAATACGAAAATGTAGAAGACAATTCCTTAAGTTTGATAAACGTCAAATTGTCAGTTTTTGTTGTGTTCGATATATAGATCCCTGCCAATAAAGTTTGATGCCAAAATTTTAGGTAGCTAAAGTGGGAAAAATTCAAGATGAATTATTTAAACTAAAGGGGTCGCAGGCTAACAAAACAATGTAAATCTAATTTTTCCGTAGCAAGTTGCAACCATAGCCAATTTTACATCTAAAATCATTTGATACGAACGAAAATTCTTTGGAACACCGAATCAAGTCCACTCGAATATGATTGCCAATGAGACAACTAACCACCAAAATAAAGTCTGCTATTCACATCTCATTGTTGAAAGCAAGTAACAAATATGAGTCTCAATATGTAAATGTGTTAGTACCAATGTTTGGGGAGTACGTATGGAAATAAAGTTGGATTTCTTGCGTATTTCTTGCGAAGTATCCCTGTTACTGTTTATACCGTAAGGTTCAAAAATAGGCTTAATAATTATCCAAATTTGAAAAGGGAGTTAAGAATTTAAATAAATATTTGTGAAATAAGTCTCGTTGACGCTTTTAACTATTTAATCACTTGTTTTAAATATTCCATTTAAAGTACAAAGAATTTAAATTGGACTGTGGAATTATAAATGGACTTTAACACGATGTTAACATAATAACAAAATGACGTGTTCGGATAAAAAAATCGAATTAATGCTATGTCAATTAAATTTAGATTTTATAAATTAATGACTGTGAATGGTTAGGGTGAATTGACTTGTTTCTTGTAAAGGATACTTTACCTTAAAATAAACTACTGATGGCCAAATGTATTTTTGTTGATATTTGATAGAAAGCTGTAGCAAGCCCAAAAATTGTGAATGACAGGACAGATAAAGTTTACTAAACGAAGAAAAAAGGGTGTTCTTCAAATAACGTTTTAATTAATATGTTAAACAGAGGAAAACAAACGTTTCGCATATACAATTATGGGCCTTCAAGTGCAAACTGAAACAAAAACATATGTTTTAAGTGGCGAGTGGTATTCCTTCATAACTCCCTTAAATTTTTAATTTCACACCAAAGGGAGGTAATAAAACTCACACGAACTCTCAGTGTTTTGTTAATTAAGGTCTCCTTCAATTCTGTATTCCCCTAATTTTTTAAGCCATTTTTCTCCATTTTTTATAAATTTTGTACATTATTCTCTATTCGTTATATTTTGTGCCCTTTATTCTACACCTTCTGCCCATTATTATCTATTCTGTAAACTCCATCCAGGCCCTCATTAAATATATATTTGACTCTCTGAATCCATACTTGATTTGTAATTAACTTATGAAAAAAAACTTAATATATGAGTATATATGTATACAACTCTCGTCTTTATGCACTATAAATCATGTTAAATGTCTTGTTGTGGAAACAACCTGTAGTTGACGACAAATGTTTGTTAATCAATTATTCTTAATAAGTATCAATATTTTTATTATTCTACTATCAAAAATGTCAATATTGACTAACCTAGAGAGAGGACAACTCAATATTAGGTCACAAGTCCAACACAGGGGACAGAGTTCCGGACATTTCATGTGCTTTCGTCGAACAAACTTTATAACCTTTTTTTTAGCCAGGTACCTTTTTGATAGTGCTACGATAAGTCACAAAAATTTAATTTCCTTGAAGCTGGCAGAAAACACAACTATTTGTGTCAGACTACATTTTCTGTGTTTCAAATTTGCTAGGTGTCAAGAAATTCTGATTGATAATATTCCCTAATTTGAAACGTTATGGCTATAATTATCAAATGGTAGTAAAAAATATTAATTGCTACAAGTTTTTGTTTTATCTGATTACTATAAACCGGTATTTATAAAAAATAAGCTGATTGAATTTAAAGAACAAAATATTCGTTTAGCAAAAATTAAGACACCTTTTAGATGTTTGAGTTGTTCACCCCGTGTCAATATCGGAAAGTTAATAAAATCTTGTTGAAATTGGATACTTTTGTAGTTTTGAAATGAAATGACAAATAAAATTCATAATATGGAAGAGGAAATTTCTAGAAAAAGTCCTTACTGCTATTGAACACTAAAAAAGACTTTTGCAGCAATTAACATGATTTATCATAGTCTTAATTGTTGGATTTCTAGTTATGCCCAGATATTTTTTTTAATTGCCTCCTCGAAAATACTCATGATACTTTTAGCTATGTATTTTTCCACTTAGTAGTGTTATGTATACGCTATGGATATTCAATTTGTTTCAAGTGTGCATACATGATAAAAATGCGTTAAAGTGTAATTTTCTATGTTTTGAAATATCAATTATGCTACATGTGTTTGTTTGTTGTGTTATTATGTAGAATTTTAATCTGTTTTTACTTGTATCAAATCATTTGTAACTTGTTCCCCTTTCCATCTGAGTTACACTTGTATTCTTATATTTATGTGTTTCATTATTGCAGGATTACCTCAAGCCAATCAACAACAATGGATGCCGGCCGTAGGTGCTGCTGCAGGGTGTCCGTCGGGACTGGAATACTTAACACAGATTGACTCAGTTATAATCAAACAGCAAGTTGATTTAATTGAGGGTATGGTTCATTTTGATTATAAATTCAAAAATTATTTTTGATAACTCATGTACTATGCAGTATACACTTAGAACAAAGGCGCTGATCAAAAGGCAATGCCTGCAAATCCATTTACAAGATGGACATTTTATTTGTCAGTACTAATTGATTACTAAATATCTAATAGCAATTATATATATTAGGCATACAATTTTGACGACAGTATCAATGAATTAATTCGTTTATTTTCACATACAAATAGATATTTTCTGTTCTGAATAAAAGAAGAATTTTGGGTAAAGTCAATGAAACATTAACAAAATAGCAAAAATCAAATAAAGTTAAATAATAATACATGTCTGTAATAGCCTCATGTAAAATGTCTTAGGAAAGATCTTAGTAAATAAACTCATCAAAGATACCAGGATTAAAATTCTGTATGCCAGTCGCCCGTTTCGCCTACAAAAGACTCATCAGTGACGCTTGAATAGAAATAATAATTAAAACGGTCAAATAAAGTACGAAGTTGAAGAGCATTGAGGACCCAAAATTCCTTAAAATTTTGCCAAATACAGCTAAGGTAGTCTATTCCTCAGGTAGAAAAGCCCAAGTATTTCGAAAATTCAAAGTTTTGTAAACAGTTAATTTATAATTATGACCAAATCAATGATAATAATGATGATTCCATGACTCAGATTATATCACTCAAATGTATTTTCTAGCAAAATAAAATGTATTTCATTTCTAATATTTTCTTTGTAGCCTTTGTTGGCTGGGAACAGGCAAACAAATATCAAATAACCAACAACCAAAACCAACAGATCTACTTTGCTGCTGAAGGTAAACTTTATTTTAAATTATTGTTTGTTAAAGTATGTATGATATTTTATAGTGTGCCTTTCTATGTTGTGATGTTACACTATTGTTTCAGGTTAGGGGGAAGGTTGGCGCCTGTTAAAACGTTAAAACCCTCTGCATTTGTTTGCACCTGTCCTAAGTCAGGAACCTGATTTTCAGTGGTTGTCGTTTGTTGATGTGGTTCATAAGTGTTTCTCGTTTCTTTTTTTATATACATTATACCGTTTGTTTTTCCTGTTTGAATGGTTTTACACTACTCATTTTTGGGGCCCTTTATAGCTTGCTGTTCGATGTGAGCCAAGGCTCCGTGTTGAAGACCGTACTTTGGTTTATTTTTACAAATTGTGACTTGGTTGGAGAGTTGTCTCATTGGCACTCATACCACATCTTCTTATATCTACATAATCCTTGTATTACACTGACATTACCATACAATACATGTAACTATTAATATAAAAATAAGAAGATGTGCTATGATTGCCAATGAGACAGCTCACCACCAGATACTAAATGACAGAGGGTTAACAACTATAGGACACCTTACGACCTTCAATAATGAGCAAAACCCATAACACATAGTCTGCTATAAAAAGCCCCGAAATGACAACTGTAAAACAATTCATCTTATGTACACAACAACAAACGAAAAACAGAAATGCCAATTAAGCGTGCATTGAATTGATTATTATTTTGAGTTAACAGAACTGAAGTACAGTTTAGAGAGGCGGGGTTGTCATTGAAGTTCAAGTCACGTTAGGTGGTATCACAATGAGAGCTGTCGGGGGGAGGAATATCGGCTCTAAAATGAAGAAGCATGGGGATCTATTTGAAAGAATTTAAATTTAGTGTTCTCGTTTGAACTGTTTCATGTTGTTCATGTCGTGGCCTTTTATAGCCGACTATATACGTATGAGTTTTTATCACTGTTGAAGGTCGTACAGTAGGTTGGCTTATACTTACATTCACTCCATTTGAACTCTGGTGGATAGTCGTCTCATTGGCAATCATATTGCATCTCCTTATTTTATATTTAAGGATACATAATGCAAATACAAAAGCGAGACAAAAGATATCAAAAGGATATTTAATTCATATGTCGAAAACAAACTGACAATGCCATGACAAAAACAGCACACAAAACACAACAAAGAAAACTAAAGACTGAGCAACATGAACCAATATGTTATATGCAACAATTACATGTAAGTCAAACTCGCTGGGACAAAATTTTCCACTCGATGTATAGTTTTATTCATAATTTTAGGAAATAATTTGAAAAAAAACACTATATTTTGTTTCTTATAAAGATTTGTCTAGAACATTAATAATCAAAACACACACAAACACTGGATTTATATTATATATCTCATTGTAGAATCATCTATGCTACAGAGACAATGTTGTGGACCAAGTAGAGGGTTCACTATCCACATAACAGACAATATGAACCAGGTAGATACCATATTACTACATGTATGAAGGTCTGGATGGGGAGTTCTTCATTACTATATTCTTTATTTTTTTTAACCATTTTTCTTTATTCTTTATTTATTTTACCCATTATTCTCTATTCTTTAATAATTTAATTTTGGATGTTACACGTCATCTGATTGGCTGAAAGTTTTTTGTCTATCAGCTCATAGACATAATTTTGTCATGTGACCGTGACGTCATCAGTTTTTTTCAGGATTTACTCCTTAAAAATGGAATTTAGAATTAAATTATAAGGAATACGCGGGTTATTCAGTGTGCACCACATTTCTGATGTTATTTCTTCATAGACAGAAAAAATATTACAATCATACCTTAATTGTTTTGGCCTATTTTTCTCTATTCTTTATTTTTTGCCATTTATTTTGCAATTTGTGCCCATTATTCTCTTTTCGGTAAACCCCATCCACACATAAGACCCACGCTTATCTTTCATCTTTTGATTTTGTTACAACTGATTTAAGGAAAGGGATGAGACGGAGATTTTGTGCCGGATTTTATCTTCTTAAACGATTGCAATGTATCTAGAAAACAATCGATCGTATTGTTATTTTTCATACAAACAGTCGCGACTATATGGAAAAAGTCATATGGTATCTGATGCTTATTCTATCTACCAGTTGAAATGTAACAAAATGACAAAAAATAACTTTCAACATCATATCCTGTTCATATATCTCATTGGCTTTTTGAAGAACTACGAATCGTAATTTATCAGAAATAAAATGATAAGTGTTTGAGCGTTCAGTAATGGTACACATTTCAGAAAGCCGTTATTTGCGGTTTTCTAGGTCTAAATGCCATAAGTTCATAAAGTTTAATACATGTAAATACCGGAATATAGTAATTTCATATCTGTTACATATTTTCAGGAAGTATTACGGCTAGTAAGAGATTTTAAAATGTTTGCTGGATGTTGCTGGTGCGCAACCGGAAGCTGCAACTGTTGCGCACACGAAGTGCGTATTGAAGCACCCATTGGTCATGTAATTGGATACGTACGGCAAGAGTAAGTTAAAAGTTACAAATGTCAAATTGAAAATATCTCAAAATTCATCTTACATGTATATTTTCCGCTACTATTCTGTACAAAGGCCGCTTAGGTCGTAGTTATTATAATAAGCCTCTTTTCTGTAACTAAGGACAGACAAGTTATCTGAATGAACACAAAATAACAGTCTCGGGCTTTAATTGACATGCACAGGGTTCGTTAAAAGGTTGTTATTTAATATTTATACTACATAATATTGGTTGAACTGTTTAAATATAGACGGAACAAGTTTCTATCGCCAATGATATTTGACATGGCTACTATCGACTTAGCCAATTACCAACAATTAACTCGTCTAGTCTTCATTTCTCTAGAGTAAGCATTGTAAAGTAAACGCAATCATTTTTATCTTACTGAAAATAATGAATTTTCAATGGTATTTTTGATCGCCATGTAAATCAATTATACTACGACTACTTTTATTAAACCAATCATCGGCCAATAAAAGGCATGTTACATTTAATGATTATAAATAGACACAAGTAAATAAACAATAATTGTAATACTAATGATATGAAGTTAACTACAGAAGTTGGTTTTTTTTTTATTGTAAAACATTTTTAAACAATTAAAGCCACAGTGGTGAATATTTATTCATGTTTACATGAAAGAAACCAAATAAATATGTTCTCTGTATCTAGATTCAGAAATAAATACATATTTTTAAAATCAGAATGTAACACATCTTGTCGTTGTTGTTCGAATGCTGGACATCCCATCAGAAAATGAATGTTATCTTCAACTGAAGATACTATGAAGAGTATCTAATAATTTATCAAAATTTCCATTGTTTAACAGACAGAGTTGCTGGGCTCCAAGATTCACAATTAAAGATGCCGACCACAATGATATACTGAAAATAAATGGTCCCTGCTGTGTACTCAGTATGCCATGCTGTGAAGATGTTTTTATGGTAAGCGAAAAAAAATTGACTTTCTCATGATACATTGTATATGAAAAATTTAAAGAGGGACTTCAGGGATATACGCCTACAGAAATGCACTCTTAATATTACAAAGAATGTGTTCCCCACATTTCCTATTTATAGCAAAAACTTCATCAAGTTGTGTGTTTTCATTAAACGGTTTTTTTTTTTCATTTCAATTTTTGTTTATATATAAACTATAATAGAGGACAACATATGTCACTGTATTCATTTATCTGTTCAAATTTAAAATCATCTTGAGTTGAATAGACATAAATAAATACGAGCTCTAAACACGCGTAATATATTATGTTGTACATTTTTGTAATTATTATACATTTTAGCTTAAGAATCTAGAAGAAACATCAGACATTGGAAAGATTTCGAAAAAACCAGGAATGGCAGAATTATTTACTGATGCAAATACATTCGGAGCTAACTGTAAGTAACTTTAAAGCGCGTATGAATTTCCCGTATTGTTTGGTCCTTAAACAAACGAACATAATATTTTGTCCTACATATTCATTCACTTATAATAGCATTAACAGTACCAATTTTTCTGCACCAGATGCGCATTTCAACAATAGATATCCCTCCAGTGATGCTCGAGCCCAACTTTTTGGAAAATCTAAAACTTATAAAACAGACAAAGAGCTTATAAATCGATCAAAAAGGACAAAAAAGTAGAACCAAATTCGGGCAAGGAATCAGAGCAGAGAGAAAGATATATCCCTTAATCTAAAATAATTTCCAAAATTTTGTAACATCAAATTTTAATTACACAATATCCGTATTTTTATGCCAGTACCGAAGTAGTGGCTGGTACATGTAATACCCTCGATTGACCCTGTGGTATTTATAGGATTAAAGGTACCAATATTTTTGCACCAGATAAATGTAAAGATGTTCGTGTGTTCTTTTATTTTTACATTTGCATGATGTTTATAAATTATAAAGTATTCAGTTTCAAAGCCACAATGGATATTGTTGTCCGGCTTTGTTTGAAGTTTCGAGGAATCTTATAGATAAAGTAGCAAGATTTAAACAATTCTAAACAACAATTAATTATATAACTTGTTATATTGTACTTTCAGTTCCCATGAATCTTGATGTGAAAGCAAAGGCATGCGTTATGGGAGCAGTTTTCTTGATTGTAAGTTTCTTTTATTAGAATAGATTTTTCAAACATGACGAGAAAACAAGAAAATTATTCATGCATTTTTTAAAGTGAACAGAACTAGATATTAGAAAACCACATAAACAATGAGCAATACCATATAAAAATAAAGAGATGTGGTAGGATTGCCAATGAGTCAACTATCCATCAAAGATCAATGAAGTGGATGTAACCAATTATGGGCCTTCAACAGTGAGAAAAATCCATACTGTATAGTTGGCTATTAAAGGCCCCGACTTGAAAAATGTGAAACAATTCAAACGAGAAAACTAAATGTATATTGAAATATGACTTTTCAAAGAATTAAAGAGTCCGTTAAGTTGAGTTTGAAACTGTCAAAACAGAAAAAATGTTATACATGTGGATCAAAAAAATGAATTGAGAGTGAACAAATATATAATATATAATTAAAAAAAACTAAATGTAATATTTTTTGTTACAGGATTTCATGTTCTTTGAAGGAGCTGGTAACAAAATGATGAGTTATAACTAGAATCATATGTAAAAGTGAAGGACTCTCACTTAATACTCTTAATTACTGTCAAGTTGAATTTAATATATTTATTTTGAACTAGTGCTTGGTATTTATTCTGTAAAATGCATGAATACTCCGCTGTTCCAATAAAGATGATTGTCTAGAGCATAGAAATGTTTTTCTTTATATTCAATTCAAAAGTGACATAAAAATCTTTATGAAGATTCATATACGCATATGCAGGGAATGTCCATGTTTTTTGCAGTGATCAAATTTAATTTCGGTTATAATGGATTCAACATGGACTTTATTTGGAATATATATTCAAAAGATGCCGATGCTCAAATATCTCATACTAGTACCTCAGTAACGACGATCATTAAAGTAGAAATAGTTAGAATCACAAGAACTTTAAGCGGATGAAGACCAAGTGCGTTGACAGGATCAGTAACATCTGCTATCATATGCATACAGGAGCATAGGAGTGAGACATAGTGCGTCGGCATGGTCAACCCGAGTAAGCAATTGAACAGTCAATCATTACGTTTCGGCTGTGGTAGACGATTTGTTATTCCATGCGTTTAATTAGTTATTCACAATAATTTAAAAGCTATGACATGTGCTATAATTTTAATGTAAATGCCAGTGTAATGCTAAGTTTTTTGTGTTTCTATGGTCAATCTGCTGTAGAATGTTTAAACCAAATAAAAATCCTCTAGCTGGGTCGCACAATTAGTTTACTTGGAATATACGGCCATCAATTTGAATACAAATCTGTCAAACACATGAATATGTTGTCAACCAAAAAGTACAGCATTCTACTTTTGTGATCATAAGAATAAGCGTGGTTCTTCAAAAAGTTGCTTTGCATCGATCTAGCAACTGGCATTCTAGTTTGTCATTCTAAAAACACAATTTAATGAGAAGATGTTGATTCAGTTCAGTTTAAAATGTTGAATAAGGGGACGATTATTTGATTTTCTGGGGAGGAAGATTTTGAACATAAATATCCTGATCTGGAAAGAGCTGCAAAATAATAAACTGGCATTAGACAGGATTAAAATGAATATTCTGCAACAGAAAATGCAGGAATCAATCGTAAAAAAAAGTGCAAACAAATTTCGCGCGGTTGTCGCGGAAAAATATAATCACGCATAGCAACAAATGAAAACGAATAGTCAATAAAAAAAAAAAAGAAAATCCTCCTGCCACACCCCTCCTCCTTCCCCACCGATTATCAAATGGTCGTCCCCTAATGGTTCCTAATCTAGAAAATTATGACGTTTTATTTTATACTTAAAAATCTTTTGAAACCTCGTATCTGAACGACTTTTCTGTTAGAGTTTCCCTATGTACAATACTGGTTTTGTTTGGCTTTCTTTGACTGTACTACAAATCTTGATAAAGTAGCGGAACATCCATATGACTTAACTATATAATGTTTTTGATAAGAGGAAAGTATCTCAAATGTCGCCATTGGTAAGGAAAGTAGCATTGTAATTGAAATTATCAGATGTTTATAAGTTGATTTCAACCTCTTTACAGAAGCATTTACAATGCCTAGTGATGATAGACATAAAACAATATTTTTAGTGAAAATCTTAAGAATGAATTCTAATATATTACTTTCTAATATAAAAAGTAAGAACATTAATAATACTAAGTTGAGGAAACACTACTCTACCAGTAGATGTCACAAACAGGCACATTAGATAAATTTCGAAAAAATTATAAATTATAGGCCTTGTATATGAAAAGAATGTGAAGGAATGAGGAGGCATAACCAAAATATATTGTTCATCCGGATTCCATCAGAGAAAAAAATGTTGAAATTCGTTTCAAAAGATGCCTTAAACCGGCATGATGTAATGATATGACAAAGATCACAGATCGCTTAGAAATAAAAATTCACAAAACAAAACGTCTGCATAAAAAAATCAAAGAAGAATATTCATCTGGAAACCAGAATACAAGCACATAGGAAAAACCCGTACAGATACGCCTGGTCTTACACCTGCGGATAGTATACATTATGTTCCAGTTTATACTTTGCATCTTTTTAAATGCAAAACATACCATTATAATCTATCGGAGGTCCTTAATAAACACAAAACATACCATTATAATCTATCGGAGGTCCTTAATAAACACAAAACATACCATTATAATCTATCGGAGGTCCTTAATAAACACAAAACATACCATTATAATCTATCGGAGGTCCTTAATAAACACAAAACATACCGTTATAATCTATCGGAGGTCCTTAATAAACAAAGTCGTCAAATCATGACTGATGAATTCATTCAAACTGAAATTCCAAAAATACACTTCATGCACGCTTATTTTCAACAACTAACCACTCTATCACAGAAACTGTAATGCCGTAGTACCCTGTCCTATTCATTATGAAAATAAATCTCAATAAATTTCGTGAGTCAGAATTACTTTTCTGGATTTACCTTCACCGGGAATGTTTAAACCCTAAAATGTGAAATCCGAGGAAGTATGAATTATACCTAAAAACGTAAGGAACTATTTCAAGTCCATGTCCTTCGTATATACTCACCCTTGCGCGGGTAACTTTATCACAAGTGTGAGTGCCCCTAGAAAAAGGAGATTCATACATCTACATATCAGAACTAGTGTGCCAACACAATTTATAAATTCTGGTATAATACCTCCTTTCAGGTCACCTTGCCCTAAGGGCCTTTTGAGATATTGCCATCACTTGGCGTCCATCGTCGTAAACTGTTAAACATATCTTTTCCTCTTAAACTACTGGACCAAAGGTTACAAAACAGTAACTGAATGTTTCTTAGCGGGAAATCTAGTTTAAAAATCATATCCGCCGGCCGGGGATTTGATCCAACCTGCGACTAACAAGTAGTTGCTTAAACTAAAACATAGCGGTAAAACTTCAGTTTTCAGCTTATATTTCTATCTAAAACAGAAATTAAAGCCGTTAGAAAAAAATGACAGTATAAAATTATTAGCAGGTCACTTAAGGTTTATCTACTGTCAAATGTTTAGAAAAAATCAAACATCCCATCTTTGACCCTGAAATGACAATTGAGTTAAGCCATTTCAATTGATATTTTATAGTGTGTCTTTCTATGTTGTGATGTTACACTATTGTTTCAGATAAGGGTGAAGGTTTGGTACCATTAAAACGTTTAAACCCGCTGCAATTGTTTGCACTTGTCCTAAGTCAAGAATCTGATGTTCAGTAGTTGTCGTTTGTTGATGTGGTTCATAAGTGTTTTTCGTTTCTTGTTTTTTATATAGATTAGACCGTTGGTTTTCCCGTTTGAATGGTTTTACACTAGTAATTTTTGGGGCCCTTTGTAGCTTGCTGTTTGGTGTGAGCCAAGGCTCCGTGTTGAAGACCTTACTTTGACCTATAATGGTTTACTTTTATAAATTTTGACTCGGATGGAGAGTTGTCTCTTTGGCACTCATACCACATCTTCTTATATCTATGTAAGCTAATTTCGCAGTCCTTGGTTATTATCAGGCTTGCAAAATTTTTATAGGGATAGGTAAAACTTCAAATAGTAACAATGTCTGGAACAATTAGATCTACAAATAAGTCAAATTGGACGAAATCGTCTTACTTGATTAACCCCATAGGAATTATTGTCCCTGAAAGAAAATTTGTACCCATTTTTGCGGAGTATTTTTTTTTGCGGAAACTATAGCAGATACGGAACATCTTATAATTTTAAAATCATCAGTAAAATAAGATCTACTAATAAGTCAACATGGACGAATTTTTTTAGTGCATGAGTTATTGCCCTAGAAAGACAATGTTTACCCATTTTTGTAGTTTGTGAAGAAGTTACCAGAATTGGTCAATAAATTAAGATACATTGTACATTTAAAGAAACATGGCAACATCGTCATACGACCATATTACCCATGAATAATGATTTTCATCATTTTTTTTACGGAAACTATAGTTGATAGATGACATGCACATGTATATGGTAAAAAATTGATCAACAAAATAAGATTTCCAAATAAATCATCGTGGTTGAAATCAGCAACAGGTCCTTTTTTTGTTGATATTTTGATTTTTAACCACTTTACCGAGAAACTATCAAAAATTGTCAGCCGACGACTTATTGGAGTTATTGGTCCTGGGGCCGTGTCAACGAAGCTGTCTTATTACTAGGACGTGTCTAAGGATGGTCTTAGGACACGTCCTAGTCCTAAGTCAGGTTAACGAAAGTCTCCTATGATAAGATATGTCTTAAATTTGGTCCTAAAGTTAGGATATACTCATAGGTGTCTTAGGATAGTCCTGAAAGTTACGATGTCCTAAATCGAAATAAAAACAACAAATATGGCCTTCTGTCAGTATTTGGAGAATTTATATCTGTGTAGATACTATACCATGTCTTCTCCTTAAGATTATTCGTCGCCACATTTGATAGCTTGCTGAATATAATTCCCCAATGCTTATTTACTTTGGCAAGCAGAATTTGATAATAATAATAATTTCTTTTAATTCAACAGGATAATATATTGAGTCCAAAGACTAGTTTACAATAAGTTCCTGCACTATATACATTTTTTACAACATCTTAAAAATTCTATTAATATTAGAAACATTTTTGCACCTGACCAAATTGTACAACAATAATTGAAATGTGGAAAACGTTTGAATTTCGGTTTCAGAAAAAGGTTGACTTCTTTTCTTACTAAGGCTGATTCAATACATGGAAATCGATGTGGACCTATGGACAACACTAGTTTTTTTTTATCCCTGGGGAAAGTTTGAATTGCAGCACGATAATAGCCTCTCACAAAGTTTTGTGACAATTTAGTTTAGTTTCTGTATGCAATTTATTTATCACTTTTCATAGTTACTATATAATAATGTATCTAATTAGTATTAGATTATTTTGCGTTATTGTTTTCCATAAAATATGTAACCTCCCACCCTTTCCATATATACTGAAATACATAAAAATACATTTCATCTAATTCTCTACATATTTTTATTAATTAAATAAATGTGTTAGGATGGTCCTAGGACAATCATAGTTAGGACTGTTCTAAGATAGCTTTGTTTTACACCCTAAGACATGTCGCAGACACGTCCTAAGACAATCCTAAATAATGTCCTAAGATATACATATCTTAGGATACTTTCATTGACATGGCCCCTGATTGACGAGTTGGGATACTTTTTTGCATATTGTTGAACTGTATAATAGAAAGAGGAAAAACTATAAACTACAAAAATGATCAGCAAAAGAAGATCTACAAATAATAGGTCAATGTTGCCAAAATAATCAGTGGACTTTTTTAGGAGTTATTGCCTCGAATAACGATTACTAGTATCATACAGGTGTCTTATACTACAGGGAATCGAGAGAAACTATAATTTTTTACCTAACATCTTGGAAACTGTAAAAGATATATCAAAATTTTGAATAGCAATGATGATCAGCAACACAACATGCACAAGATGATCTACAAATTAATCAATAGGAATGAAATTGTCAATCGACACCTTACAAATGCAAAGTTCTACAAATACATTTCTCATTAACCAGTCTTGTAATCAATTGTAATACATGTAGGACTGTCTGCTTAAACCTTTCACTGACAAATCATATATATTTACTCATGTAGGACTGTCTCCTTAAACCTTTCACTGACAAATCATATTTACTCATCTAGGACTTTTCACTGACAAATCATATTTACTCATGTACATGTAGG